AAAAATGTCACAGAATCCCAGAATGGCTTGGGTTGGAAGGGACCTTAAATCCCTTAATAATAAATTAAATTAATAAATTATCTGTTTAATAAATAATAATTAATTAATTTCATAATAAACCACACCCTTAATTCCAACCCTCTGCCACAGGCAGGGACACTCCCCACTAAACCAGGTTGTTCCAAGCCCCATCCAACTCAGCCAGAAAGGGAATTTAGGGAGAGGAGAAAGGGAGAATAAATAGATGAACTGAGGCAGGATAGAAGGGGAAGAAAGCAGGGAAGGTTTTGCCAGCAGGAAGAATGATTTCTCACATGTTCCTCTTCTCTGGAATGATGAAACAGGTGCTCAAAGGCTGAGACAAAGAGGGAATTACAGCTAAAGCAATCAAATATTGGGTCTAAGGACTTGTAGCTGTGCCAGGGGAGGTTTGGGTTGGATATCAGGAAAGGTTCTTCCCCCAGAGGGTTTATCCATTTCTATCCAGGGAATGGGCACAGCCCCGAGGCTGCCACAGCTCCAGGAGTGTTTGGACAGCACTGCCAGGGCTGCCCGGGCTGGGATTGTTGGGGTGTCTGTGCAGGGCCAGGAGCTGGATTTGAAGATGCTTGTGAGTCCCTGCCAGCCCAGGATGTTACCAGATTCATTCTGTGGGATACGTGCTGCTCTCCTGACAGCGCTCCACTCACTCCTGGCTTTATTTCCGTGTCCCTCTCAGCCAGAGCCAGGGCAGGACTGAGCATCCCTGCAGGAATTCGCTGGGTGAGCTGTTCCCACAACGTGTCAGTAGGTGGCAAAAAGCTACAACCCTTGTGCTGAGCAAGAAATGAAGGTTTTTCCTGCCTCTTTGAAGAGCAGGAGGGATCTGTGGGATCTGTGGATTGTGTTTCCCCGGGACAGAGATCCCTGCACCAGCACTGCTGAGAGGCAGAGGCATCTCAGCATCCAGAGCCAGAGCAGGTGAAGAGGCTCCAACAGGAGCTGCCTCCTTCCTCTGCTTTCATCACAGCACCCTTGTGCCTCGCTTGACCTCGCTCTGGAATTGTTGAAAGAAAGCCGGAACTTTCTTTAAATGGGAAGTGGGAAATCAGCAGGCTTGGGGCTGTCACAGAGCAGTCTGAGGATACCTGGTGAGGCAAACAAAAACCTGCCAAGCTTAGATTTTTTATTTTTTTTTTTCAAGCTGGTGATAAGACTTTAATCTTGGTGTACAGCCTGGAAAGGAGCTGCTCAAGTCTCTGTTCTTGGGGGCTTTTCTCTGCAGCTTTGTGTGAGCAGATTGAAGCAATCCCACACACCTTGCAGGGAGGCAGGGCAGATAAAAGCTTTAATAAGGTTTTTGGGTGTATCCCAGTGGCTCGGATGGTGGGGTTTTTTCCCTGTTTTTGAATGCCTGCGTGCACTGGGGAAGGAGGAGGTTGTGTGATGCTGAGGACTCACATTCCTGAGGAGGCCAAATGCTCTGAGCACCAGGTGGGACTGAGCCCAGGGAGGTTAGAAAATCCCATTAATCCAGACTAGTCAGTGAAATCCAGTTACACTGTGGCTTTATTCAGCTTTATTTACCTCACACCTCTCTTTGCTAAGTGTAATTAAATTACGTTTTTTCTCAAGAGCAGTAACAGAGGTGTTACAGCAAGCCCAGCTCCTTTTTTTAAATACAGAACTATGGTTCATTGACATTTCCTCTTATAAATTGTACATTTAATTGCTAATGATTTTGCCAGGCTGGTGCTGACTTTAGGTTGAGCATTATCATTTTGATTTAACATTTCAGCAAAACCGTTTCAGCTAATCCTGAGCTGGAAGAATTTGTCTTGCCCTGGCCATGTTTGTACCAACAAAAACATCCTATAACCATTTCCCTGGGGAGATCAGGTGTCCTTTGGGGCAGGGATCTATCTGACCTACATCTCCTGGGCTGCACCATTTGCTGCTATCCACACCCACATCATTCACTGTGTAAAATCTCCGTTCTTTGCTGTTGTGGTGAAAAATGATAACCTGAATTTTCTGAAGGTGCTGAAATCTGGGGCTGAGCAGTTTCTGCTCCAGCACAGCTCCTGTGTGGAGACTCCTCTAACCTGCAGGAAGGGTCCAGCCTTGCTTGAATTTTTGGGTAAGGTGGGAGAGCCACAGAAACACATTTTTAGCCCAGGGAGGCACAGGGAGGGTTGGGGGCTCTGCTAAACACAGACTCTGGTTTCTGTGGGGTGTGACTGAGGTTGAAGCTGTGTCCTCTCCAGAGCTGGCTGTAATGGCTCAGCCTTCCAATGATTCCAGCATTTGGAGCTGGGAACTGAAAGCCTCTCTCTAAAGTCTCCATTGCTCCATTGTTCTGCTCCATTGAAGAACACACATGGTGGGAGCTTGGTTGGGGTTTTGTTTTTTTCCCATCTTCTGCATTTTGTAGAAAAGTCTGTGTTTCACCTTTAGTAATGAAGAAAATGTTTTCATTTCCAGTGTCTGGAAGGATGTTAGAAAACAAGAGCAGAGGATGAGAAGCCACCTGCCTCTCTCCAGGTTGTGGTGAATTAATACAATCAAGAACAGCACAGTCAAACAGTTTTGAGCACCAGAAGTATTTCCTAGACTCTCAGAATGGTTTGGGTTGGAAGGGACCCTAAAGACCACCCAGTTCCACCCCTGCCATGGCAGGGACACCTTCCAGTGTCCCAGGCTGCTCCAAGCCCTGTCCAACCTGGCCTGGAACACTGCCAGGGATCCAGGGGCAGCCACAGCTTCTCTGGGCACCCTGTGCCAGGGCCTCCCCACCCTCATACCAGGAATTCTTCCCAATATCCCATCTCCTCCTGCCCTGTGGCAGTGGGAAGCCATTCCCCCTGTGATGGCAGCAGCTTTGCTGATTTTACCACTTCTGTAAGAGCAGATTTTGCACACTGTAGATTGATGAATTAATGCTCAGAGTCTCTTCTGTGCACGGTCTCTGATATGGATCGAGTGGTCCACAGACACTTCTCCGTGGGCAGCACTCTTCCCCAAGGCTGGCAACACGATTATTGGAAAACTAATCAGCTCTATCTGAGATAAATTGCATTTCCACCAATTACAGCTTAATTGTTGACAGATGGGAACACAGAAGGGCGATGTGTCACATCATTAAGAGAACAGGTGTATAGACAAGTGCCAGATTAATTGTTCCAGCCCATTAAATCATTGACCTTTCCAGCACACCCTCAACACTGAGCTCAAAGCTCTCACGGTATTTCCAGCTCACACAGGGTGATCCTCTCTATCAGCAAAGTTCTCAGGGCATTTTTAAAACACACAGACTCCAGTGGAGTCACTAACCATGAGCAGCTCTCCTTCTCATTAAAATGATTCCTCTTCTTCTTCCTTCCCTGTGCTGGGGTTTGTTTTTGTGTTTTTCTGCTGAAATCCCACATGGTGTGTGGGCAGTTTTCCCCATGGAGCATGCAGACGTTCTGTAATGGGCCATACATTTAGGGATGTCAAAAGCAGGTGAAATCAGGACAGAGCAGCTCAGTCCTGGGCAGCTGGGCTGGAGGCTCCAGCTTGATTTGGGGCTTGGACTGTGACTTCCAGCTCCTGCTCTGCCTGGGATTTCCAATAAGGATAAATACTGGTGAAAGTGAGTCAGCCATGGGCGTCTCTTTCCCTTAAATCAGTGTAGAAATGTGTCTCCTGCTCTTTTCCTGGCTGTGTAAATCAGGAATCTGGGGGTGCAGTGCAGACACATCACAGCAGCTTTGTGGGAAGAGCACAGGTTTGGGACAGTGATGCAGGACAAGCTTCATCCATCCCTGCTCATCCTGGGTAACTGAGAACTGGGTCTTCTTGTTCTGAGTTGGAGAAATGAAAGGATCAGGTTTCCAGCTGAAAGTGCTGTGATGATATTTGTTACACCTGGAGATCCTGCCCTGAGATTTTTTGTCCCCTGGTAGTTCTGGAAAAAGCAGGGAAGGGAGGGAGACAAGCAGGAGGCACAAGGAAGATTTAATGTCCTTTGTCAACTCTGCAGCTTCAAACGGAGGCAAAACTGATGCTGGAACCAGACCTGTCTGTTCCCCAGGGCTGGGGGTGAAATCTCTCCCTCCCTTGTGTTTCACCAGCCCCCTACTTATCCAGTTTGCCACATTAAAACAACTGTGTGATATTTAACATAAATAAATAAATAAAAATCTCCCTTTATATGAGTGCTTTGAATCCACAAACTTGGTGGCCTTTTTGGACCTCTAGGGACAACCAGACAGGACACAGGAGAATTGGGTGAAGCTCCCTCTCAGGTAACAAATTATTTTGTAAGGAAAATGAAACAATTTAATAAAAAATACGGTTTATGTAAGATGGAAACTGCAAGAGTATTTTTCATAGATCAGACACCTTCATATAATCATCTTTTTCGTTTTCACTTTTTTACTTGGAAATATCAGATTGCGACAGGGTAGCTTGTTGAAATTCCTGGTGGGTGCTGCAGTCTTGATCAGCACCCCTGGGAGAGTCTCTGCAGGAAAAGATTGAGATTTCTCCCTTCCCATCATTCACTCTCCAACACTGAACTCTTAACAGGAAAAAAAACTGAACCAAAGCCAGATTTTTCAGATTGTATATAAATCTGGAGGTTAGTTCTGAAGAAAGTACATATACTTTTGTGTCCAGGACAGGGAAAGAGAAGAAATTTAAGGGAAAAAAAAAAACAAAAAAAGCCACAAAAGTAAAAAAGGAATTTTAGAAATGCCAAAATATTTATTTTAAAGACCTCTTAAATAAATCATTTCACCTTGCATTTTGAACTGGGGTTTGTGGTTTAAAAAATGCTAACCCCAAGTTAAACAGAAAGATTGAGTAACTCAAAGGCAAGTGAAACGTTTCATTTCAGTTGAAATTGAATATTTGGGGTTAACCCAGAACATTTCCTGGCTTCTGCTTGGGTTTTCTTGGGTTTTTTTGCCAGCCCCCTCTTCTTCTCTCTACTCCCATTTCACTGTTATTCCATCCAAGGCTTTCTTTTCTGGATATTTTGATTCTGAGAGTTTTTATTCACCCCACACCAGCAAGCTCCTCGTTTGTCCTTTCCACTGAAATTCCCATACTCACAGAAATTCCATTTACAGCCAGCACATCTCCAACCTCAGCCCATCCACCTGGGAGGGTTCCAGCCCCTCCAGAGCTGGGACTTCTTCCCTTGGCACACCCCAAGCCATGCCACTAGAAATCCCTGTCAAAGAAGTCATCAAACAGGGAAATTCTCTCTGTCCTGGTCCTCACGAGCGTGGGTTTGCGGTGAATCTTCTCTTCCCTCTCCCCCTCCTCTGACCCTGTGCTGGAGGAGTCCCAGAACACATCCCTGGTCCGTGGCTCCCTGCAGAACCACAGGTCAACCTTCCCCTTCCTGCCTGGGGACAGCTCAGCCCTGCCAGGCTGCCTGCAGAGTCCTCCACCCCACGTGTTTCCTAGGGGAGAGAAAAAAAAATATAAAATATCGTGGTTTTTCAGAGCTGCTCGTCACCTGGGGTTGAGCTGGAAATGGCTGTGGACAGCTGGAAGCATGTAAGGAAAATCCTGAGAGCTCCTGTAAGACCAGACCCCATGTCTGGGGCAGGGTGATGTGTTACACACCCAGGATTTTATTTGAAATTATAGGGTCTGGCGATATGGCTTTATCCTCAAAGGGAAGAGAGCTGAGGTGAAGAACCACGAGGGAATAGGAAGCCAAGTTTGTTCTCCTTCCTCCTGGTGAAAGTTCACCTTCAGGCAAGTTTTTCCCTGATTTAAGCACTTTTCTGCTCGGTGATGCATTCCCAGCCTGTGCCAAAGGCTGTCACGTGCAGGCAGAGCAGGACAGGGCTCATGCCTTGGACAGGTCAGGATGAGGAGATCCTGAGATCCACTTCCCTTTCTGTAGGGAAATAAACCCTAAAGCTAAAAAGTGATCAGCCTCAGTGAGTGCCACATTTACCCCATGCTCTGTCCTACAAGCACAGCCCTTTCCCCCCTGGGCCTGCTGCTCCTCACTGCAGGACATGGAGCACTGGAAGCATCTTCCATGGGGAGACTTCCCTGATGACATTTAGGAGAGCTGGTGAGCTTCACATCGCCTTGGAAAGTTATTCCACTTACCAGGGTCATCTTCAGGGAAATGCTGATTGTGCTCAGCAGGCACAGGGTCTGGGCTTCTGGCACTGTCCCCTCTCTGGGGAGTGTCAAGGACATCCTTGGGGCTGAATTCCTTGATTTTTTGCTCATTGATTTTCGCCTCCCTGTGGAGATTCCGCTCCAGCTCCGCCTGGGTTTGCAAATGAGTTGTCAACACAAGCAGCAGAGGAGCAAACACGTTTTAATAGCTCAACGTGGCACAGCATTAGGGGGTGGCCCTGGAAATAATTGCACAGCCGAGCAGTTTAACCCAAGCAAATGGAATTTGCCAGACTGAGTGCATGACAGAACATGACTGGGACAGGGATTTTTTTTTTTTTTGGTTTCTCCGTGAGTCATGGCCAGATGAGGGCAAAGCATTGGAAAAACCACAGGTAACTACTGATCACAGGGGATGCTCCCTCTGCCTAAAACACAGGGAAAACTTCCTTTCACCTTCCCAGCAAGAGGTCTGGAACATCCTGGTCCGTGGGAGAGACACCCCCATCCCCTCCCCAGATCCATCCTGGCATTACCTCTCGTCTCTTGCGGGTCAGATCCAGCATCTGAAGCTTGTGCAAGTGCTGCCTCCTGCCAGGGAGGGCATTCAGGCTTTGCCCCCTCTTCTCCAGCACCTAGGAGGTATTTAAAGATGCAAATAAATACACCTGCCCTTCCTGAAAGAGAAAGGAAGAGCCACCAGCTCACAAACCCCTCGGGTGCCCCCGGATAAAGGCAGCGAGCATCTTCCTGTGAGGATTCCAACCTGCAGGAATTCATCACAGATTTCCACTGTGCTCTTGCAGTTTATCCCACAGCTCTGGGGCAGGAGGGGGAAAAAAACTTCATTAAAACAATGTATTTGTGCTTCTGCCCGCCGAGGTGTTGCTGCATGGAGTCGGTTCTCCAGGATAATCTCATGATCCAAAGGGAAGAACGTTTTGCATGGGTGTTTATGGCACGCAGTGTTTGCAGCCTTTAATTCAGACTTATAGAGGTGTAAAGGTTGGAAAAGGGGTCTAAGATCCTCCAGCATTGCCAAGGCCACCCCATGTCCCCAGGTGCCACATCCACATGGCTTTGAAATCCCTCCAGGGATGGGGATCCACCACTGCCCTGGGCAGCTGTTATAAAGCCTGACAATGCATTTCAGTGAAGGAATTTTCCCTAAAATCCCATCTAAACCTCTCCTGACATAGCTTGAGGCCATTTCTTCTCATCCTGTCCCTGTCCCCTGGGAGCAGAGCCTGAGCCCCACCAGGCTCCAAACTCCTGCCAGGGAGAGGGAGAAGGTCTCTCCCTTCTCCCCCCCACCCACTGCGAGTGATGGGTGCTCAACTAAGTCATTTAAAAACTTGCTTCTCATATTTTCAGCCTCTAAAATATTTAATATCCCGGCTCAGCAGGTCCATCTCATCCAGGGAACTGTCATGCTGGAGATTCAGAAGCTTTCTCCTTGTTTTGGATCCTCTCACCCACACGCCAGCGTTCCAGCTCAGTGTCCTGGGCTCAGCCAGGGACAGGAGCACAGCCAGTGGTTAAATTCCAACTTCTGCCCTTCAGGGTGCCCAAAGCTGTGAGGGAAAGGAGCCTGCAGCCAGGAATGTTTTGTGGAAGGGCACAAACTCATGCACTTACCTTTGGTTTTGGGCTTGCAGCCACTTCTCGCTGACTCCAGGGCTCTGCAGGAGTGATTGCTTGTGAAAGGATGGCAGGTTCAAGCCTCTGCAAGTCCAGTATTTATAATATTTAGCATTGTTCATTCCAGAGGATCATAAAACTGGATATGAAACTACCATCACAAATTTTCCAGCTCCAATTCTGGCCCAGCTGCTCGGGATACAGGAAGGAGTTTGGCATCTCAGGGAGATGAGCATCATTTGGTCCTTCAGGAGTGGGCAAAACTGGGGAAATGTTTTTGCATTACAGCACAGGCAGCAAAGCCCCAGTTTGACAGCAATTCCATCCCTGCAGGTATTTCTCTTTGAGTGCCCAAAGCTCCATCCAAGACCAGAGAGAAGCCAAACCACAGCTCAGATTGCTTCATGAGCATGCAGAGGTGTCATAATTTAATCTTAAGGATCCTATCAGGTCATCAAAGGGCAGACCCCAATGAGAGGAGACCTAGAGCACCATTCCCTCTGTCCAGCCAGCCTTTGCATTGGCCTAAATAAAACCTCTCTCTGCAAAACTGTGCAAAGTTCCTTTGCTGGTGGCTGGTGAAAATAGGCAGAGACTCCTTAAACCATGCCAAGCTCTGAATGTTGGGGGGTCATTCTATGGCTAAGGTTAGAAAAGACCCCTCAGATCATCAAGCCCAACCATTATCCCAGCACTGCCAGGTCCATCACTAAACTGGTGTCCCTAAGTGCCACATCTACAAGGTTTTGAACATTTCCAGGGGTGGTGATTCCACCTAGAGTTCCCTTCTAGGAGCTTTCATAAAAGATAAAGGGGACATCATCAAGGACTTTGTCTGTAAGACCTGACTTACATTTTATTTGGGAAACCATTAATTCCTTGATTACAAATAAGTGCCCAACCAGTGGGGACATGTCTCTGATTGTCTGCACTGAACTGCTGCTGAATCCTCTGCTGTCGTTTTGAATCTGTGTAAAAATGCAGGAGGAAAAACCAGCATCATGTAAAGGGAAAATTCCCCACTAGTCCCCAACACCAAGTGCAGGTGCCTTAGCACCACAAAAACTCCATAAAGCGAAATATGAAACTGAAAAATGGCACTAGATGGCAGCATGTGACACCACAAGCTGTGGTCCAGGCTGGCATCACTCTGGGAAGCCACCAAGGTCACCAGCATAGGGTGGATGAAGGGAAAACCATCCCACATCCCTCAGCCCATCACCCTGCCCTGCTGGGGAAGCCACGCTTCAGGATTTTGGGTAAAGCTCAGTCCCAGGCTGGGAAATGGACTTTTCCCCTTTAGTTTTTGTGAACATCACAGGTTTTTGTCTGGAAAAACTCTCTGACCAAGATCCTCTAAAAGTCCTTGAGAAGGCCAAGTCATCCTTCTCTGCTGCCTTTGAGGATATTCCCAAAGGAAAAAAGGATTTTTCTGGAGCTGTGTACACTCCCTGAGAGAAACAGCAGCAGAACAGGGTAGGATTAACAGAGCCTTTGTCCTGAAATGAGTGTTAACAGTGAGTGTCTCAATAATACACAATAATACACAAGCCCAGTGATGGAAATAAAATCAATAATTAAAAATTCCTTGCTGGTCAGAGGTTTCTAAAGGAAATTGTGATTCCATATGACAGTTTTCAGGGTATAGGTGGGCTCAATTCAGATGCCACTGTAGCATCATCCCACCAAACCCAGGGACACATTATCCCATAGCTGGTGGCCACCTCTGAGCTCTGAAGCCACCAGTGTCACCCAGAGCCACAGCCCTGAGAGGAGTGGGTTTAAGTGACCCCATTTGGTGGCTCTTCTGTTCTTTATTACATTTAAAAGATCATAATCACAGCAAGAAGGTCTCAAGCAAAGAATCCTTGCTCCAGTGGGTTCACAGAATCATGAAAATCTGAAATTTTTGGATTGGAAGGGACTTTAAAGACCAATCCCCCTGTCATGAGCAGGGACACCTTTCACTTGACCAGGTTGCTCCAAGCAGATTCAGGTTGGATATTGGAAATGCTCATGAATGAACACTGGATTTGAGCTTTGGCCTCACCAGTGCCAAATACAAAGGGAGAAATAAAGATCTGAAGATATTTCTGAGCTTTAGTTATGTAAAAGCTTAGTTTAGTTTAGTTTAGTTTAGTTTAGTTTAGTTTAGCCCTTGTGTGGAGGAAAGTCTTGACTGTTAGGTCAGGTGGAGTCATGGGGTTGAGTCTTGGGGAGGAATGGACCTGGGAAAGTGCAGAGTGGGGGAATTGAGGGGGTTTGGGCAGGTACAGAGCATGAACAGCCATTCCTGAAACCCAGGATGATTGCTGTGTCTCTCACCATCCCCTAGGGCACAGCACATCTGTCTGCTTTACCATCTCTGCTCCAAAGCTGCTGCCTTTGGCCTGAGGAGCCAAAACCAGCCCCACATGGTGCAAGATGGACCCTTCCTGCAAAGGGCTCTGTCTTGGCCACACCTGGGGCCCTGGGAACACCAGGATTTGGCTGCAGGTACCCAGACCCCCCAAAGGACAGTGGGACCATCCCAGTCTGCTGGGACACCTGTCCCTGTTGGGTGACTCCAGAGCACACAAGCTCCTGATCACCCAAAAGTGGGACTTGCCCCTGGTGTTGCTGTGGGGTATTTGCTTCCCCCACCCTGGGCTTGTGACAGGTGTCCCTGTCCCCAAAAATCCCATGGGGAGCTCCCAGGGAGCTTCCACACTTACCTGGGGCCTTCGGGGTGGGTGCTGCTTGATGATGCTGGTCCCGTCCTTTCCTGGCAAGGTGTTCAGAGAGAGGGGCCCTTAAAGGGTAAAGAAATGGATGAAATTATATCTTAGGTTGCAACCCAGGATGTGACTAAAAGTGTGTATTCTGTCACCATCTCTTGAAACCAGCTGGGGCAGTGATCCTTCGCTTGGTGGGAGAAATTCTCTGTTAATGGGCCAGCTGTTAAAATTAGGTGGGGCAGTGTTCTTTATCTTTTCCACAGCCCATCCTTCCTCCAGGAGATCTCTCCTGTTAATGGCCATGCAGTCCCACTGCATGGCTGATAAAATTCCATCATCCCATTGGGAGATGCTCCACCCAGGGGGAGGAGCCAAACATCTCCTACCTAGATAAAATCTGAGGTCTGGAACACCAAGGCAGCCTTTTCCCACTGGATCCCAGAGGAAAACCAGAGTCTTCCACATCATCCCTGGAGTTTGAATGAGAACTGCACCTTGTGCAGGAGCCCTGCTCCAGCAGAACCACATCTGTCACTGCAGGAGGATGCAGCCACCATGGAATGGGACTGCACCAAGCCTTGCTTGCTTGCGGGGGGTCAGGTTGTATTCTGACTCTGTCAGTGTTTTTGGGTTTGTTCTCTGTAATACTGTATTTCTATTTTAATTTTCCTGGTAAAGAACTGTTATTCCTATTCCCATATCTTTGCCTGAGAGCTCTTTAATTTCAAAATTATAGTAATTTTGGAGGGAGGGGGTTTATATTCTCCATTTCAAGAGGCTCCTGCCTTTCTTAGCAGACACCTGTCTTTCAACCAAGACAAGTTACTTTTAGGTGACCATCAGCTGCTTAGGTGCACTCAGCAATAGCTTTGTGCCCTGTTTTTTGGTGGCATGTCACACTGGAATCCCTGTCTGTGTATTCCAGTGACACATGGAATATTCTGTTGGCTGCAGGAGTGAAGTGGGTCTAACTGTGCCTGTGATTTCTAACAAATACTTCTCCAGCTTCCCTCTACAATCACTCATGCTCCTAAACATGACCATCACCATCCTTGTGTCTCCTGCAGCCTCTCCCACTCCTGGGATTTGGGGGATCAAGGGACTCCTCTCCTCCCATGCTCTGTAACCATCAGCCAGACCTGTCTGTTCCCCAGGCCAGGGCTGGGGGTGAAATCTCTCCCTCCCTTGTGTTTCACCAGCCCTCTACTTATCCAGTTTGCCACATTAAAACAACTGGAATCTCCTTTTATATGAGTGCTTTGAATCCACAAACTTGGTGGCCTTTATGGACCTCCAGGGACAACCAGACAGGACAGGAGAATTGGGTGAAGTTCCCTCTCAGGTAACAAATTAAGAAATCCCAAGAAATTGGCCAAGAAATTCCTGGTCTCTGCTGCCTTCCCACTGCCTGCCCTGTTAAAGTCAGGCACAGGCAGCACTTTGAGGTCTTTTCCTGCTGCTCAGCCCCTGAGACTGGATAATTATTTTTATTTGGTGGGACTGAGCAAATACCTCTGCTGATTTATTGCCTGCAGCAGCAGCAGTGGGAGGGCTGTGCTCAGGTGAGTGGTGCATCCCCAGACCCTGGAAATCAGCCCAAAGGAATGTGTCACACACCAATAATCCCCTGTTAGTTATTAAAGCTGAGCTTTCTCTAGGCCTGGCTGGGATCCCAGCTCAGCTCTGTTCTGTGCTGGTGCTCTCAGCTGGACACCACTGCCCCTTTCATTCTTTTCTTGCACAAATAAATACTTGCATGTGCAGGAATCATTTCAGTCACACAACAGTTTATCTGTTTATCCCACCTATTCACCCCAAAATTCTGTCCTGGTGCATTCAAATGACATTTTATGCGTGGAATTAAGTGAGGTGTGGCTGAGCAGCTCCTGCTCCCACAGGGTGGGAGCCCTGGGGAGGTAACAAGGAGGAGAGATGGGGATAAAGACCAGGAAGAACATTACAGCTGATGCCAAATTTAATAGTAATATTTAGCAAGAAAAGTGGTATTTTGGGGGTAATTTTATGGGGGACTTCCTCGAACCTCATGGAAGATCATCAGGCTGGGCTCTTGGGGAAGAGAGAGAAGACAATCACAGAATCATGGAATGGTTTGGGTTGGAAGTGACCCTAAAGATTTTTTGTTTTCCATTCCATGCCATGGGCAGGGACATCTTCCACTATCCCAGGTTGCTCCAAGCCCTGTCCTTGGAGCACTTGGACACTTCCAGGAATCCAGGGGCAGCCACAGCTTCTCTGGGCACTCTGTGCCAGGGCTCCCCACCCTCACAGGGAGGAATTTCTTCCTCCTGTGAAGGTGCTGGGATGTGGGAGGTGGTGGTGACTCCATCAGGTAAATGTTTGGCAGAGCCCTGGCAATGTTTAACCACTGAGTGAAGCTGTGGCTGCTCCACACATGCAGGAATGGGAGCCTGGAAGGGAAAATTTCCAGCACAGGAGACTCCTCTGGAGACAAACCTCATCTGCAGGGAACAATGGTGAAATACCAGCTTGTTAGAGAAAAAGGAGGTTGTGGAGTATTGCCTCTATCTGCAGGCAAGAGAGGGCACAGGGAATTTCTGTGGGGAAAGGAAAAGATAAGGAGGTGGCCCATGGAGATGGGAACAGGGACACAACACAGGGAAGTGGCTTAGGGGAAGCTTGTCCTGGTGAAGGGCACAGCTCTGAGGAAGTTATTTCTCCCTTATGAGATTTGTATTGTGCATGTTTGGGGCTGTTTTTAATTTTTCCCCTCCCATCCCATCCATGCATGTGGCCTGTAGGACATTTGCCCTCGTCCTCTGCAGATACAGAACTGGGGGCTGAGGGTTTGCTGTCCCCAAATCTGCTCCCCCCAGAGCAGGGAGCAGCACCAAGCCCCAGCTCAAGGCATCCTTGTGACTCCTCTTGTTTTTCACCCTTGCACTTCAGCAGCAGCAGATTCTCTCCTCTGGGGGAATCTGGATTTAAAATAAGCCAAGCTGAACCCTCATAAACCAAATAAAACCTATTCTCTTGAAGGCTTTGCTTATTTAGACAGAAGCTCGAGCTAATACTTTGCTCAAGCCCTCCTGAGCATTCTCTTCTTGTTTCTGAAAATGGAAAGTAATGGAAGATAACATTTATTAATTTTTTAAATAAAATACACATTTTTAAACAAGCATTTGTTAAATGCCCAGTGATAATTTCTCAGAACAGGAACATTTGGTTGTTGTTGCTCTCATGGAGTACTTAAACCTGCTCTTTTACAGCAAGGCCTGATCTGTACTCTCCCCAAAACCTCAGTTCTGGGAATGTCACTGCTATCACTCCAGAGATTTATTTGCTTTCACTGCTTCCTGATGCCACCTGATGAATGATCCTGGAGGAAATATCCAGCCTCTGGTGAAGCAGTGGTGCTTAACAATGCTTGGTGTGGGTTAGAAATTGATTTTTGGGAATGGAAAAGCAGGGAGGGGGATGCTGGGGGTGCAGATCCTCCTCCCTCTGCCTCTCCTTCCTCACGCCCCATTGATTGGTTTTCATGGATGTTTCTCCCTACAGTCCCCTAAGAGCTGTGGGAAGCATTTGTCAGCATCCAGCTCGTTGTGGAGAGCTGCACATCCTCCCCCAGACAGACGAGAGCCTCTGGGAAGGATCTGGGTGTGGATGGAGTTTCAAGGCTGTGGGGAGAGGCTGCTGGCAGGGAAGCACACACAGCCAGGCTGTCTGCCTCCCTCTGCTCCTGGCTTGGGAAATTTGTCATCAGTGACAAATTGGAATGACAATTGGGATCAGTTCCCATGCTGAGTCGTACCTGCCCAGGGCAGGTGAGCAGGACAGGGCTGTGATGGGGTGCCAGCGTGGCTGGACAAGGGCTTGCCTGGACACAGGTGGGTGCCAGGGGGATGCTGGGCTGTTCCCAGGGGGTGCCTGATGAGAGCAAGGAGCTGGGAGCTCTGGTGAGTGAGACACTTTCCAAAACAGTGGAAGGGGAAAAATGAGTTTTCCCCAAGCTAAAACATCCTGCAAACAGCACAAACGGCAGGAAGCTGCTGATGCAGCACAGCACACCCCTGCTCCCACCCCACACTGCAGCCAGCAAACCACAGCAAACCAAAAAAGCCCCAGTGACCCCAGCTCAGGAAAGCCCAGCAGTGCCCCCTCACCTGCACAGGCTCTCCCGTACCAGGTCTCCCGCAGAGGTGGAAGCTCCAGGTGGAAGATGGGCACTGGGGGGTGTGGGCTGGGCTGTCCTGGCTCTCTGGGGAGCCCCTGCAGGGCACTCAGAGTGGCCACATCCCCCTGGGCCGGCACTGGGGCCACCCTGGTCACCTTGGGGTGCGCCTTGGAGGAGCTCAGACCCATCCCGCAGAGCCAGGGCTCTGGGAGGAGAAGGAAAACCCCTCATGCACCGTCCTCCCTGGACATGGAGAGGGATCTCTGTGAGCCACTCAGAGCCCAGGCAGCTCCCTCAGATGTCCTTCCCAGCTGGGTTAAACATTGACCCATGCCCAGCCGTTCCCCTGCAGGGATGGAGGTGGCTGCAGCTGGGGGAGCCCGTGCCAAGCCCTGGAGAAGCTTTGCTTTTTACCTACAGGTGGTTTTTAACCACCTCAGCTGGCCTGTAGGTATTTCTTCAAGCAGCTCTTTTGGTAAATCTTCAGGTTTTGGAAGGCAATTCAATTCCCAGAAGGGTTAAAGTGTCTCCCATCCTGCATGGGAGAAGCAGCCTGGGAATAAAGCCTGGCCCAGGAATAAAACCTTTGCTGCTGCTGGCTGGGGGCACTGCTCGAAAAAAATACAGCTTTAGGACAAAACTAACTGGGAATATTGGTCAAAGTGAGTCGTATTTGATAGCTCATAAAGTCATAGGATTGTAGAAGGGTTTGGGTTGCAAAGGACCTTAAAGATCTTTTAGTTCCACCCCCCCTGCCCTGGGCAGGGAGATCTTCCACCAGACCAGGTTGCTTCCAGAAGAAAATATTAATCCTTGGAGCAACCCAACCAGTTCATGTTTTCGGCACAAAGCACAGACATCTCTCATGACTTTGCTTTTCCCAGGTCACATAGGGCATGAGGGAGAAGAGCAGCCTGGCCTGTAATTTTTTTTATTTCTTCTTTACAAATGAAAATGTAAAATCAACACCCTGATTCCTTCCCGAGTTTCTCAATACTTACTGCCTATTTTTCCTTTTTATTTTAATTACTCTCCCTTGGTTGAGAACAGGTCATTCCTGTTGAGCAGCTTGGGGAAATCATGAATTAAATGCGATGATGGATGTGTGGGAGCAGTGGAAACCCACGTGGATGTTCAAGCTCATGGTGTTTTATCTGGAGTTTTACCCATGTGCTGGGTAAATCCTGACAGGGTCCCCCTGCTCCCCAGTGTCCTGTCCATGTTTCCTTCTCACAGAGTTTTTCTTTGTAAAGCAAAGGGTGCCAAGAGCAGCAGCTGAAGGTCTGGGGTTGGGGGAAGCTGCAGGAGGATCCCCTCCCTGCAGGTCACTGGGGCAAGCTGAGATCCTGGTCAGGGATGCTCAAACTTCTGTTTAACTGGGGGTTATTCAATGCAATAATGTTATTTTGTCTATATTTGGAGTTCAGTGAAATTCCTGAGTATTGTGCTGTAGAAACGTGGGGCTGGAGGAGCTTTGGTCCCCTACGGTGCCATTAGGGACAGCCCACAGTCCCTCCCAGGAGAGCTGGAAAAGTTTTGTCCCTTTCTCCCATTTCATTTACTGCTTTAAACTCTCTACCAAATCCAGATGGAACCTGCGAGTGATGATGATCCCTCCAGAATTGGATTTTTCAGCAAGTTTATTGCAGTCAAAATGAAATAATTGACTCTTTAGTGCTCTGATGCCTTTGCTTTAAGGAAGATACAGGGAAAACCTCAAGGGTAGGGCAGTGCCATGACTTGGGGCAGGGTTTGTTACTCACCTTAACACAGGGCAAAGGAGAACCAAGGGGCAAACACCAACTGCAGCAGTGGATCACCTCTGCCTTAAAGCTTCTCCTCAAAAATGAATTTTAAATCACAAAAAAGAAAAAAAAAAAAGGAAAGAAAAAAAATAGTGGGCAAAGGAGGAGATGGAAAGTGGGTGGAATGGATTTTTGCCAAAATAACGCCTGGGCTTTTATGCAAATTCCCAGCGAATAAAGCAGAAACAACCCCATGTGAGCAGGCTGTTGTTTATCCTGCTTGCAGCACGTTCAGGCAGCGACAGCGTGAACAAATGGATCAGCAAAGGGAGGAAAACATCCCCTGGCCGGGATACAAACTGATCGAGCTTGTTATTACACATCTGTAAGGTCAAAACCACGGCTCGTTCCTCCCTCTGCTCCTTGTCGCCGCTCCTGACAGGGGCCATTCATCTTATCTCAGCCCAGGCTGGGGACAGGGTGGTGCTGATAGCACAGCCCGGGCTGCTGCCTGCCTGAGCCCTGCAGAGAGGGCAGGCACTGCTGGGGATGCTCCAGGAGGGAGCACGGTTTTTCCTTTCCTTCCTTTCCTTTTTCCCTCCTCTTTT